CTCTCAGCAAGCAGATTGCCCCGGTCTAAATCCCGGCCGGGGGGCTTTCTGGGTGGAGTTTGCATGATTTGTTTTTTCATTCATTCAACCTTTATTTATACAGGTTAGTTCCCATTGAGCCTTGAGGACTCATTTACAAGAGAGACCTGTTACATACAGACATACAAAGTAGATAAGGAAAAGAGAACACGAGACGGTGGAGGAGGTAAAAAAAAAATCATATCTCACACCATATCCTGACTGGGGCACAGTGTGAAAGATGCAAAAACAAAAGACCTTGCAACATAAACAGCAACATACAATGACATCATAATACACTTATGCATGAGGTCAACAAAGGCGGTGAGTTGTCCGTGGACACTGCCAGAAAGTTCCAAATTTCTTACAAGATGGTACAGTGTTTATCAGCAGCTCAGTTATGATAAGGCCCACAGATGTCCTCGGGAGAGGGGGGTAGGAGGAGAGAAGGAGCAGCACAGCATCATTATTCACATAGCCTCTAGGAGAAATTTGACATGGCTGACCCATTCAAGGCCAAGCAGGGAAGCCAGATTTGATAACAATTGTTTTGGGACAGGCAGACTCTGCTTGATTTTTTATTTTTATTTTTTATGTCTGCCTTCAAAAGTTCTGCTGGTGCCTGTCAGTGGAGGAACCGAACAGCCAAATTTTGTGGTCATTCCACCAGGTCGTGCTTGTAGCCTCCCCCAAGGTCAAATCCTTCATGCCAGTGCGTTCCAGAAGCCTCAAGTGGTTTGTGATTCTCAGAAATTTTTGTCCAGCTTATGGCTTAGCTCACAAAGCATCCGAGTCTGGGCACTCGAAGCACGGCACATTCCTTCACACATGGCAGGCAGCTTCAAAATTGGTAGATCCACTGCAGACGTCTTTGGAATTTGTTGGTAAGCCAGAAACCTGCCGATTCCAAAAAGCAGAAATCCTGTTATCATAAATCCAATTATGTATGCGTCTTCTACGTCCTCAATGGACAATATGGACAAACACACCATCTTCCACTGGCCCCAGGAATCCTTGGTGTATCCCAAAGCAAATGTCCCTTCAGGGCATGAGGGCTCTCCTTCACCCGGTCTTCTCGTCGAGAAAATTATATCAATTGCGTTGAGAGATCAGCTGACCAGATCCATGATTAGAAGATATGCAGAGAGACGCTCTGAAAAAGACTCACAGGACAAGAGAGCAAAAAGCAGGAGGGAGGAAGGAGCGGGTGAAGCGACCATCTTCGTTGAGAGCAAGCAGGATGTGTTCTCTCTGTGCATGCGTGGGTTTTCCCCGGGTACTCTGGATTCCTTCCTCAGACCAAAAACATGCATGTTAGACTGATTGGTAACTCTAAATTGTCTTAGGTGTGAGTGAGTGAATGGTTGTTTGTCTTGTTTGTCTCTATGTCCCTGTGATGAATTTGTGACCTGTCCAGGGTGTTCTCCACATCTCACACAGTGATGGCTGGACATGGGCACCAGTGACCCCACCCCCCCATGACCTGAAAAGGAAGAAGAAGATGATGGATGTGATGGATGGATATTAATGGTGGCCACCTTGGATTTTGACATGGCGACCCATTTTTCGATATTGACCTTTCTAATGCCTTGATGCAGCCACAAACCAAATATTTTTCAAATGATCATGCTCACAGCATGGACAGCCAGAGAGTATTTCCAATTCCCCCTCTTCGCCCTGCGATGGGACAAAAATATGACTAAACAAAGAGCACAGAGATCGTTGAGTACCGGTAGTGGTATAAATACACTTAAAAGGGCCAAATCTGTCAAAAAAGGGAGTCGGAACAAAGAAATGCTAAACACCTACAAAGTGCTGAATTACAGACATGAACAGTTCATCTGCAAGTTTTGTTTCTGATTTATATTATTTTCAGATGACAAGTCCAGCTTCTATATTAGAAGGGTGGGGGGCTTTTTACATGCCGATACCCTATAGCACAATTCCTACATCCTGGTAATCAGTCTGGTGGAGGATTTCAGAGTATTTTCATAGTTACTGCTGACTCCTCATGCCAGAGAAGGGAGGATTTCAACCATTAAATGTCAAACACCCAACCCGACAAGTCTGTCTAAGAAACAAAATGATCTCACACTCATTTGCACAAATATACACACACACACGTCAAACAGCTCACTGAGAATGGCCGTCTACGGCGAGTGGTCGAGGCAGTCGAATGTGACGTTGTCTTGTGAAAATATGCAGTATGTACTGCGTGTGTGTGTGTGTTGTTTGCAAGAGACAGGGAGGGGCTGAGTGCTGCCAAACTGAAAAGACAAGGTGAGGAAAAGACGGAAAGATGGATGAGCGAGGAAAAAGAGAAGTGATGCATAACAAGAAAAAGGAAACGGGATCGAGGCAGCCAGTTAGTTAGGGTTATTAACGATTTTGCCAGAAGGTCACAGACGGTGTCGACACGACTGGGCGGAGTGCGTATTGACTCTGCATCGTGGCGAATGATGACAAATCAGCCATGCCCTCCTAAAATAAAAATTGTATTGATTTTGATGTTTTGGCATGAAGGCAGAACAGACATGCAAAGACTGACATGCACAAACATTCAATTGATTTGAATATCAATACGTGACAGATTAAATAAAAATTATTTATATAACAAAATTCTTAAATCTTGCTTCTAAATTAACTGGTTACAGTGGCTGCTGATGCCAAATATGTCAAATAAGCACAACCATCTTGGATTATATTCATCATCTAGACTTTCATATTTTTATTTTTTGCATGGTTTTGACTGATTTTAGTTTGTAACTGTTTTGGTTTTATTAGTTATTGTTTCTTAAGAGTCGGAAATGGGTAGAAAGGCTTTGTTTATGGTCATGATTTATATACAGTCATCTACAATCATCATGCTAGCTTTTTATTATGGCTGGAGTTATCAAATCTGTAAATTTTGTTTAATTAGAAAAGCATGTACAGTAAAAACTATTAAACGTTTATTCAAAGTCTACATTATCATATTTTTCGAACTATGAGGCGCACCAGGTTATAGGAGCAATATCAATGAACGGGTCTGTTTTCATACATAAGACTCACTAGATTATAAAGTGAATTAAGCGAAACTAAATGGATAAGTCAAACTTTATTCAACTCATTCACAATAGCTCTCGATGTTGTTCAGTTGTACCACATAAAATGAGTTTGAGGTCAGTAAGTACAACAAGAATTAATACATAAGGCGCACTGGATAATAAGGCTCACTGTCAATTTTTTTAAAAATTAAAAGATTTTAAGTGCGCCATATAGTCCAAAAAATATGGTAAGTTATTATATATATATATATATATATATATATATATATATATATATATATATATA